GGGAAACCAAATAAGACATCAGAGTAAAAAAATAATAGCAATACAAAAACACAACAAAACAAAAACAGACAATTATAAATCAGAGACATCCTGCAGTGGAGGAGGGAGAGGGATCAGAGGGAGGGAGGAGCACAGGGGACTGAAGTGATGGTGCATGGGTGCCTTGGTGAAGGAAACTCTATGGGACTACACCTGAGAGGAGAAAGCAAACATTGTCCCAAAATAAACAATGATGTAAAATATAAATAAATAAATAAATTACATAAATATTTAAAAATATATATCTAAAACTAAGACTTATAATGTGAATGGGAGCATTCTAAACATTGATCCAAACAGCAGACAAGTCATGAGTGAGGTGAGAGGTAGACACATAGGAAATTTCAACAGAGTGAAAAAACATCAAAGATATTAGTAATATCACAATCAGAGCACGGCAAACTCCCTTTGGAAGTAATTGTTTCAGGTGTTTTAGCACCTTGCAAATCACATCCTTTCCCCTACTTCAAATTTATTTAAACAGTCTTATTTATCTGTCTTTCCAAAGTCCAAGTCAACCCACTGCTCCTCCTTGCAAATTCTTTTCTTCCTTCTCCTCCCATCTTTTGGCAAAAATTGTCAGCATAGGAAACAAAAATATCTGTCTGGGCCTTATCTTCCTGCCACAGTGTCCCAAATCCGATTAGATGCAGTTTCTTGGGCCAAGGTATTGAATTCCCAGCCTGTTCCTATTTACACTGTAAATAATGTCTGCTATGGTGAAGATGTTAATGGGATTATAATCATTAATATAATATGAAATATGGTTCGATTTCTCACAGCTAGCTGAAACTGGGCATTGAAGAAACAATGGATGAGCAAGGCCAGAGTCATTTTGATTTACATCAGAAAAGTTGGGGGGCACACTCCCAAATGACTAAGGACACCTGTGCTGAGTGGGCTGCAGTGGGAGGTGAGGGCAGCAGGAACAAGTAGAATACAGAAGCACCCCTGGAAAATGCAGAGTACTCTTTGCTTTTTAGTTTCACCCCAAATAATTCTAATCAGTTAACAAAAAATTATATGTACCACACTCTCTGAATGTGGCAGTTACTTTATTTTGAAAACTTTGCACATGGTAGGCAGTGAAAATATTTGTGGAATGAATGAAATTATCACCAACACCCCTGAGCCATATGATAACTAAATTAAAAATCCTTCTCATTAAAATGCAGTTCTAAAGTTGAGGGCCCCTGAGAGCAGACTGACTTTTATTAGTAACAGGATGGCCATCTGTCTGGAATAAATGTCTTGGAGGTCATTCTTGACCATTCTGCACCCCGTGTTTCCTTCTAGTCATGGAGTCTGCATCTCATTCTGTTCTACTTCCTTTGCTTTTCCTTGTAAGAACATTGCTAAGACGATTATTGTTCCAGTCATTTTATTAGGAGTACTTATTGAACAGTTAAGAAAGTATTATAGAAATTGCTCACCATGCATTTGTGCATTTGCATCAGTTTGTATATGAACATTATTCCCTTTTCACAGATGGGGCAACTGGAGTTCAGGGAGCTCCAGGTCATTCAGTTAGCGAGCAGTGGCGTGCGTTCCCATTCCAGCCTGTGTGCTTCAGAGTCAGGACCTTGTTGCTAGTGTTCCCAGTGAGAAAGCATTAAGTCAAGGCTGCTGACAAGTGAGAAACAGTTGAGCATGTCACTTGTAAATTAAAGTAGAGTCAGATGTGTCAATGAATAATAATCGCTGAGACCCTGGTGCCAGGTCAACTCCATTTAGTTGGGAATTGGAAAGCTCTCACGCTTCTAGAACTTTGCTCATCAGGCAAAATGCAAGGACATGGTCTGGCTGGGGCGGGTGGGTGATGCTTTCACACTGTGCTCAAGGGTGTGGGTAACTCAAGGAAATCTGAGGCCTGCAAGTGACACAGAGAAGTATGCTGTTTCTCTCCCAGTGCTTCTCCAGTAACTGTGGGGCCCTACAAAATCCACAACAGGCTGCTTTCTGGGCAGGGCTGCAGATGCCATTTCCCAGGGTGGATGTTGGGGGGGGGTGGTTATCTCACCTGGAGCCATTCTTGTACTCAAGGCCTCATTCCTGTAAGCCAGCCTGGTGGAAGCCAGCTCACACCGGCTGGTGAAACAGAACCCTGCCTCTGTTCCTTCCTGGGGAGCTATAACAGCAAGGTGTGGCTTGTGCTGCCTGGAAACAGCAGATCAAACCGGCCTGGGCTGCCCTGGGTTACACCCCAGATCACCCACCCATCTCAGCCCCAGCCCCCCCCACCCCCCCGTAAGTCAGCTTGACTTTCTGAATTCCTTTTGACTCCCAACCATTCCAGATTTGAAAGGTTTAAAGTGAGAGGCAACACCTGCTTCATGTCTGACATTTTATTTATTCAATAAGTTTTACTGCAATAACTTTACAGATCTCAGGTGTACAGACTTATAGTTCAACATCTGTATGCACTACATTATTTTTCCACCAAAAATTTTCATCTTCCACCACACAATTGACCCCCTTTACTCAGTTTGCCTCCAACTCCAACTCCATTCCTCTTCCCTTTTGGTAACTACCATTGTGTCCTCATAATTTGAGTTTGCTTTATTTCTTGTGTGTTTTTTTTGTTTCCTTTGTTTTTGAAACTTCAGGCATACGGCATTATAATTCATCATCCATATATTCTACATTTTGTTCATCACCAAAAGACTAGCTTCCATCCACCACCAAATATTTGACCTTTTTGCCCTCCAACCCTTCCCTACCGACTTCCCCTCCACCTCAGCACCAATCTGTTGTCAGAGTCTAAGGGCTTAGTTTTGATTTGCTTTTTGTGTACTTTGTGTCTTTATGGTGCACGTATGAGTAGTCATGCGGTATTTGTATTTCTCCGTCACAGGCCTGTGGCCCAGAAGTTCCATTGAGAAAGCTGTGGCTCAGCTAAGTGAATATCCCCAAGGCCCAGCCTGGAGATAGTCAGAACTGAGATTTGAACCTCTTCTGTTCGGTCTGTGTGGCTGATGCCTTGGGCAACTCACTGCTTCCGGCCTCCCCCTCATCTTCCTCTCTGCAGGATGCTCTAATTTCCTGTTCCTTCTCAGAGACCCCTCTTTCTAACCAGGGCTGGATCCTTTTTCAGTTTATTCTACTGAGCCTAAGCAGGACTTCTAAACTCTCCTGCCCATTTCCTGCTGCAGCTTAATCAAATTTGTTACACTAGAAACAACTGGCTTTTTAGCAACCTTCACCTGAGGCTAAATTC